CCCCACCCCGTAAAGTAAGTTTTTTTTTCCTTGTGTGCAAAGATGCCGACAAAAGGGGGGGAAGGATCGATCCCTTTGCGCAAAGAAACTGGCCCCCAAAGTTTTTACGAGGCCCTCCGCGCGCACCCGGGACCCGCCGCGCGGCCGTCACGCGCAAGCAAAAGGGGGGAAGTCGGAGTCGGTCACGCCCGTTTCCCGGGTTAGATCCGGATCGGCTTCCCACCGTCGCCGGCGGGGTACTGGGGGGGGCGGAATTGATCCCGCGGCCAGGCTGTGCATCGGAACCCCTGGATCCGGAGTTAAGAGGCCGAACCCACAAAAACTCGGCGGGATTTCGGAGTGACTCCGGACTGACTCCGCTTTTTCCGCCTTCGCTCCCCATTTAGAAGAGGTGGGCCGGGCACGGGCGACGCAAGGCGCAGCTTCCTCGTTGCAAACTCGGGAACAAGCTGACACTACTTTTCTGGCCGATCCGGTTTCTTCGCCAGCACCTGGTAAGCCTGCATATTTTTCTTCTCCAACTTCTTAATTTTTTTTTTAAAAAATTAACATACTACAAAACATACAAGTTGCCGCCTGTGGAAACTCAGTTTCAGGTTCATTATTTTCTCCTGCTTGTGGGGAAGATCAAGATTTGTGCTAAAAACGACAGGTTTCCGGTAGCCCCGACCCCCCAAATCAACTTTCCGCCCCATCTTACAAAATATATACTGCATATATATATATTTTTAGCAAAGTTGGATTTTACACTCTGTCAACACACGACGAGATCTTTTCCCATATGTACTTTTTTCGTCTCTGGCACCCTCTGACTAAGAGATTACTTTGTAGCAGCGGGATGATAGGTTATTATTTGGAATTAAATCCCTCCCGCCAGTCATTTTTCTTCTTCTTCCTAGCAGTGCTTCTTTTTGGTCTGAAAATGCCTCTTCACTCCTGCAGGAGCTGAAATTCAAAACGATTAGAGAGGCAAGGCTTTTAAACTTGGGTCTTAAGCTAAAACTAGCAGGTAGCCCTTATTTTGTTTTTTTCATGGAATCACAGAAGAATCGAGTTGGAAGGAGCCTGTAAGTAAGGCGATCCACCCCCTGCTCAGTGAGGGGATCCAGATCAAAGTAGGTCCCAAGATGGTTGTCCAATTTTATTTATTTATTTATTACATTTATATCCCGCCCATTTAGACCATGTCTGCTCTGGGCGGCTTACACTAGGAATATCATAAAACAATTGAAAACAACAATTTAAATTTTCTCTTGAATGAGGCCAGTGTCTCGAGTGCTCACCACCTCCCGAAGTAATTCGTTTCATTGTTGTACTGCTTTACCAGTTAAGAAGTTTTTCCTGATATCCGGCCCAAATCTGACTTGTACGTTGAGCTGCTTATTACCACAATTTTAATTATAAAGGCTACACACTGCACTCAGGGATGATCAAGAACAAATTCGGCCCCTCCTCTGTATGACTATCTTTCAGGTGTTTGAAAAAGCACCATCATCCCTCAGTCAGTCCTCTTTTCTCAGGGTTAACCATGCTCAGTTCTTTCAGCTGGATCTTGATCCAAAGGAGACTGCTTCCTTTGAAACCAAGTTCATGGGAACCCGAACCCTTTGCTGATCCCCCTGGGTCTCCATTGAGGGTTCCTTGTAAAGCCAGTGCGTTGTTAAAGTATTGCACTGCACTAGGGAAAAGCGACAGCTTTCCAAAACCCTTCAGAACATAAAAATACATACTGCGAAGATGTAATACTGTACAGTGGTGCCTCGTTTAACGATTACCTCGTTAAACGAGGAAGTTTTTGCGATTGCAAAATGATGTTTTAATGGTAAAAATTCGCTTAGCGATGATCGGTTCCCTGCTTCGGGAACCAATTTTTCGCTAAAGGACGATTTTGAAACAGCTAATCGGCGGCTCTAAATGGCCATCCGCTGTGCAAAATGGCTTCCCACTGTGTTTTCAAGATGGATTCCTCGCTTTACAGGCACTGAAAATGGCCGCCCCTATGGAGGATCTTCACTGAACGCTGAGGTATTTAGCCCATTGGCATGCATGTTTCGGCTTCGGGAACCAATTTTTCGCTAAAGGACGATTTTGAAACAGCTAATCGGCGGCTCTAAATGGCCATCCGCTGTGCAAAATGGCTTCCCACTGTGTTTTCAAGATGGATTCCTCGCTTTACAGGCACTGAAAATGGCCGCCCCTATGGAGGATCTTCACTGAACGCTGAGGTATTTAGCCCATTGGCATGCATGTTTCGATGCATTTCAATGGCCGCCCCTATGGAGGATCTTCACTCGACGCTGAGATATTTAGCCCATTGGCACGCATGTTTCAATGCATTTCAGTTTCAGTGGGCTTTTTTGTTTCACTTAACAAGGATTCCGCTTAACAGTGATTTCAACGGAATGAATTATCCTCGTCAAGCGAGGCACCCCTGTAGTCTGTTGGAGTTGTTTCTATTTCATATCAATTTCTCTCCCTTTTTTTTGGTCCATGCAGAGGTGCTCTAGCGCTCAACTGTGTCGTGATTAGGTGATCTAGCGCTACAGTTCGTAGTTTGTTATTTTAAAAAAAACCTATTTTAGATGGACTAGGGAGAGAAAAAAATAGGGTGGTTGTTCATGGTATCCAGAACATGATACCCAGCATGTGGCCAGAATACCACCCACAGTCCTTGGCCCCATCCTTTTGGAGAACAAAACCACTGATGCCATGGGGGGGGGGGAAGTCTACTTGAATTGTCCCCATTTGGAAAAAAAAAGTAGCCCAGCAACAAGAGAAGGTGCATTATGGGAACAAAAAGGGCTGGCCTGAGTCATGTGATCAGTAAAAAAAATGTAAATTCATCTTTTTTTCTTTACACGCCTAACAATTGGATATACCATTCACAGTACAACCTTCTTCATCCCTTCTTGCGAGTACGTTCCAAAGGGCTCTTTGAGATTTATTCGCAAGCCCTTGTGTTTAGGACTGCAGCCTTCTTTCAGTTTTTAAGATCAAAAACATTCACTGTCTTCAAGCATAAAAGCAGGAAGTCCACGCTGCTAAAGAGTAACAAATATTTGGGAGTGGTGCCTTGGTTGGTTGCAACAGAAACATGAAGGAGAAACCCAGGGGATGGGCTGCCTCTTATTTGCTGGCGGGGGTCAGCAGCTGTGGCCCTCCAGCAGTCCCTGGACTGTGATCCTGTGATCCCTATCAGCCCTGCCCTCACCACTAGAGCCATTGGCGAGGGATCATGCAGGGATCAACAATCTGGAAGGCCATTGCTACCCACCTCTGGAGCTACAGGGACCCGTGGTCCTACAGAGCTGGCCTGCAGAAACCGGCTTCTTGTGAATTACACGACGTATCCTTGATGTACGTTCAGCAGACGATGTGGTTTTCACGTGCTCACCGAGGAGTGAAGACGTTTCCCTGGCTGGATTTCTGCTTCTTACACAGTTTATTCAAGAGTGAGTTTGATACAACAGCTGTTCCAGGAAATGGTTTACTCAAGATTGTGGTTAAGGATGTCACAGGAACCTGGGGTTACGCCAGAGCCGACTCTCTTACCCTTCTCGGCAGTGTTTTCTTTTCAGTCCTGCTCTCTGATCCTTATGCTTGGAGATGCCGAGGGCAGAATGGAAGCAACTTCCTTGAAGGACAGACACTCTGCCACTAACCTCTGGCTCTTTCCGGAGCCTAGAAAAGTTTATTTTGTGGATTGTGGATATCAACGTCTCCTAGCCGGCATGGCCACTTGCCAGAAAGCTCTAGCCATTTTTCTCTAGCCGGCATGGCCACTTGCCAGAAAGCCATTTTTTCCCCAATGCAGCATTTGCCATTCATGCAATTTTTAAAAAATTGTACCATAGTACAGTATGTACAGGTCTGTCCTCAAACATGCTTTAGAAGCCCATGCTGGCACAAACTATATGCAACCTGCTGCATGTGTTATATCTGCAACTCTAGCGTCCACTCTGGTGCATCTTTGAGTCATGATTCAAACATTCATTTTGAATGCTCTACAGCTCAAGTCCTACTTAGCCAAGAGGGGTACATCTTCCTTCTCTTCGATCACCGCTGATGGGTAGTCTCCACTCTGCTGCCATCAGTGTGGCCAAGATTTGAACGGATGTCAGCGTGTAGCCATGACATGAACTCACATGGCACTGATATAATTGGTTGGTGGGCCACTGCAATGACTTCTCTAACCAGAGATAAGCAACTTGATACCCTCTAGAGCAGTGGTCCCCAACCTTGAGCCTCCAGAGGTTCTTGAACTTCAGCTCCCAGAAATCTTGGCCAGCAGAGGAGGTGGTGAAGGCTTCTGGGAGTTGTAGTCCAAGAACATCTGGAGGCCCTAGGTTGGGGACCACTGCTCTTGATAATTTGGACTATAGGCATGATGCTGGGAATTCTGGTCCAACACATCTGGAGGATACTAGCTTACCTACCCTATTTTCCCCCAAAATAAGACCTAACCTGAAAATAAGCTCTACTAGGATTTTTCGGGATGCTCGTCATATAAACCTAAATAAGACCTAAGCTGAAAATAAGCTCTACTTGGATTTTTCGGGATGCTCGTTATATAAACCTTACCCTAAAAATAAGCCCCAGTTAAGTGAAACCCTGCCCTCCATCCTTGTGCAGCAACCAAAAGAAGACGACATGACTGTATTTGAATAAATGTAGATGGTTGTACATGAAAGAAATAAAACATCCCCTGAAAATAAGCCCCAATGCGTTTTTTGGAGCAATAATTAATGTAAGACCCTGTCTTATTTTCAGGGAAACATGGTAGGTCTGGAGAGGCAGGATGGAGGTCCTGACCTCTCAGTGTTCTGGACTAAGACTGTCATGTGGAGGGTGGGGTTGTGCCCTCTAATGATACTAATTGGTGTCATTCAACTACTATAGGAGTTAACTTTTAGGATAACTAGTATGATTTTTTAATTTCTTAATTAGTGGTCTATTCGTACATTAGTATTTCCTGCATACCTTTGTTAACAGATTTTTGTGAGCAATGTTTGTTTTAAAATACATGTATTTGATTGTTGCTAAGTTTTTATGAGTGATGTTTATTTTTAAATGCCAATTTGTAGTATTACTCTTTAGAGACAACTGGACTGTATGTTGCCTTTGTATTTTTTTTCCAAAACCTTTAGGTTTTATTGAAGTTGTATTCTCAAACCTCTCTTGCTGTTGGATGTTTAAAACACAAAATCAGATACCATGACTATGCATAGTTGCCTCACAGGCTTGTTTTTGCATTATCTGAAAGGAATAGTTACACAGCAATATTGCTGGGTTTTGGGGCTTGGTATGCATTGATTTTTAGCCATAGCCATGAAGTTGCGTGTTTGGTGGTGGGATTTTCTTCCCCAGACAAGTTCTAATACGTACCGTGTTCTGAAAACAGCATCTCTTAGAATGTTTCAAAAGCCACAGTTGGCTTTTGTCTTCATTAGAACAACCTAAACGTCACAAATTAATGTACACACCTCTTTTGTTTCTCAGAATCATTCATCAACTTGATGAAAAGACCTAGAGGGTTTGAAAGCGTGCGCACTAAGTTCTCACATTTTCATTGATCTAAACGAAAGTCTAGTTTATGGATTTTGGTGGGAATAGCATGCCTATCATTGCTTCTATGTCTTAAGAGTGTTTCCTCTATGCCCAGTTTGTGCTTGCTTTGAATTTTGAATGAACTCGGTTGACTCTTAAAAGCTAGTCATATCCAACAAACTAATTTCCTTTTTCCCTTTCGAGTTTGCAAGATACATCCTGAATTTGGTTCCCATGTAAAGGCAAAACAGAACAACTTTATGACGCATCTTCTCTGCATTGCCACCTGCAAAGAAAGATAGATGTGGATAATTCTCTGTTGAGACCTGCTCTTGATATGACAAGTGAGTAAGCAGGTGACAATTTATCTGCTTTTTGTTGCACAGTTTTGATTTTTAGTTATATTCCTCTAGCTGCATACCAGACGTGCAGGGATTTATAGAGCAGAATGGCTTCATATTCCCCATATTAGTCCTCCCCTTTTATTCTCATTCACTGACACTTACAACCTCAGTCATTCACTCATTAATTAATTAATTAGCAGTAGACAGAATAAACATGTTTCTTTACTTACAGTTTTGAACAGATCAAACAGCTGGCTTAGCAACATGACTGCTTTGCATCAACAGGCCTCAATAGTCTGACGGATTGCTTCTAACAGACTACTGGGGGGGGACTGGAGCTTTATTTGAAATAGAGGCAGGGAAGGAATGATTGGTCACTACTGGACAGATTGACTGGCCCAGAAAGGTCCCTTCCAGCCAAATCTACTAAAGGCAGCATGCAAAGTTGCAAGAACTCAGCATGTTTTTGTTGTTGTTGTGGGTGTATTGTTGTGATAAGGGGGAGAGATGATCTGTCACTGTGATTGATTGATGTTGTTAACTGGTCTTTTGTCTGCAGTGATCACCAGTCCTTGTGGCTGGGTAGAGTTTGTTGACATTTTGCAGGCTGTATTTTTCAGTGTTCAAAACAATACACCCACAACAAAAAAACACGCTGATCACCATAATCACCCAATCTCCTGAAAAGGACAATGATCCCACAGCTATAAATATCTATCCAACAAAACTGCACCAGAGCACAGACAGAGTTCTGACTTCTGTCCTCTGAAGATGCTGAGACTGGCAAAACGTTAGGAAGAACAACCTTCAGAACACGGCCAAAGAGCCCGAAAAACCTACAACAACCATCATTCTCAACCTTCTTTGGCCTCAGCTTTAAATGCAATATGAAAGAAATATAGCTTGAATCAAGATTTTGTGAGGTGCATAATGAACCTTATAAGGTGGTGTGTGAAGAATTCTATCCAGTCTGTGGCCTCGTTCAAATGTACCAGGATGAACCACAGGTCATATGGCCCCTGTTGAGAATGGCTGCTCTAGACACCAAACAAACAAACCTTGAAGATTAGCATAAAAGTTCAACCATCATAGCTAGAGTGAGACCAAGATGGTGTTTCAGAACTTAGTACAGAAGAGAGAATGCCTGCGTTTGAGAAGTGGGGACAGTGGGGGGAGGGGGATGCCCATTGACTGACTTGGCTGCTTTCCTAGCGTTCTACAGGTATCATCTGGCTAGCTATCGTTGTTGATGGAGCTCTGGCTAAATGGGTTTTCATTTGACTCTGAGCTTGGCGAATATCGTTGCCCAGAGTACCCGGGAGATGCTGGGAGTTGTTATTCAAAAAGCCATATTGCTAAGCTTTTGCTTGATCTGGCGAATAGGGTTGGTGCTCTTTCTTGCCTTTGGATCTGGGATGCCTAGGATTCACCAAGAATTCCGCAGGAAGAATTCTGAGGGTTACAGCCCAGAAACAGAATTCTGTGAATTGTAGCCACGTTGCTCATTAGGCTGTACGGAGAGGGGTCTCCCAAAGAACAATGAATGACTCCTAGGAAGGTGAATTGTAGCCACGTTGCTCATTAGGCTCTATGGAGGGGGGTCTCCCAAAGAACAATGACTCCTAGGAAGTACTGTAGCAACTTACTCAAAAAATAATAATCAAGCAAAGGCCAGAGAAGACAATGGTGGGGATGTGGCAGCAGCACCAAAGGTGGAGGGGGGTCTCCCAAAGAACAATGACTCCTAGGAAGTACTGTAGCAACTTACTCAAAAAATAATAATCAAGCAAAGGCCAGAGAAGACAATGGTGGGGATATAGCAGCAGCACCAAAGGTAAATACTGTACTTTTCCGCGTATAAGACACCCACCACTTTTCTAATCCAAAATTAAGAAATCTAAGCGGGGCTTAGCAAGTATAGGGGGAAAGGGATGAAAGCGCTGCAGAATCGCGTTGATCCCTGTTTTCCCCTCCACTTGTTTTTGTTCTCTCCTCAGCTTACTTCCGTGTATAAGACGACCCTCAATTTTTAGTCTAAAGATTTTAGACAAAAGTATAGTCTTATACACTGAAAAATACGGTAGTTTGAAAGCCCATCTTTAAGGGACAAAGCTAGAGGTCTGCAGGTTTGTGTTAGTCGGTTCCCAGAATTCTGTCTGAGGGATTCATGGAGAATTCTGAGGAATGCAGTCCAAAAACATGAAAGAGAACATCCCTACCAACAAGGCAAGGCCTATAAGTATGTTTATGATCTCCCTGACTTACTTCACCACATTCTGATTTGCTAACATTGCAGGCTGGTTCAAGGCATTGCTGCAGAAGCCCCGGAAAGGTTCAAACCCATCGCAATGGCCCTTGAATGATCCATCTGCGAGGCCTTCTTCATCTCTCCCCACTGTGAGAGGCCGTAGCTCTCCTCCTGCCTCAGGAAACAGACCCAGACAGGTGCCCTCCGCTGACCAGGTAAATGTCAACAGCTCCGAGAGTGCCCGCTGGAATAAGTCCTACGATGTCTGCATCTGCCACAATGAGGGTGACCTTGGTTTCGTGGAAGAGTTAGTCTCCTACCTGGAGAGCCAGCCTGAACACTTCCGCTGCTTTCTTCAGCCGCGGGACTCAGTGGTGGGAGGCGCCATCGTTACGGAGTTGTGTGATGCCGTGCAGAACAGCCATTGTTGGGTTCTGCTCATCACGCCTAACTTCCTCAAGGATCCCTGGTGCCGTTACCAAATGCATCATGCCTTGACAGAGTCCCCCATGGCTAATGGTCGCACCATTCCCGTGCTGAAGGATGTGGACCGCCGGGATTATCCCAGGGAGCTTCGATGCATTTATTTCATCAGTGTGACGCTCTGGGAGACGACCTTCAAGCAGATCAGAGAAACAGTGATGCGTTGTAAGTAATCCGTTAGGACAGCAGAACTTGGAAGTTATCTGCCATCAGTAAGGGAGTTGCCTGCAACAAGTTGTGTTTCAGAAGTAACTGAATGATTGGGAGCCGTGTAACTGTTAGTATAATGAGTAACATTTCCTAGTTCTTTTTAACCGGGGGGGGGGACATTTTTGGAGGCACTTCAACAAGGATTTTTCAAATCTTGCACTCTTTTCTTATCCTGGGATCTTTTTTTCTCTCCCCCCAAAAAGTTGGGTTCTGCTCATCAGTAGTAGAAAATAATAAGTAATCAGTAGAAAATAATAAGTAATCAGTAGAAAATAATAAGTAATCAGTAGAAAATAATAAGTAATCAGTAGAAAATAATAAGTAATCAGTAGAAAATAATAAGTAATCAGTAGAAAATAATAAGTAATCAGTAGAAAATAATAAGTAATCAGTAGAAAATAATAAGTAATCAGTAGAAAATAATAAGTAATCAGTAGAAAATAATAAGTAATCAGTAGAAAATAATAAGTAATCAGTAGAAAATAATAAGTAATCAGTAGAAAATAATAAGTAATCAGTAGAAAATAATAAGTAATCAGTAGAAAATAATAAGTAATCAGTAGAAAATAATAAGTAATCAGTAGAAAATAATAAGTAATCAGTAGAAAATAATAAGTAATCAGTAGAAAATAATAAGTAATCAGTAGAAAATAATAAGTAATCAGTAGAAAATAATAAGTAATCAGTAGAAAATAATAAGTAATCAGTAGAAAATAATAAGTAATCAGTAGAAAATAATAAGTAATCAGTAGAAAATAATAAGTAATCAGTAGAAAATAATAAGTAATCAGTAGAAAATAATAAGTAATCAGTAGAAAATAATAAGTAATCAGTAGAAAATAATAAGTAATCAGTAGAAAATAATAAGTAATCAGTAGAAAATAATAAGTAATCAGTAGAAAATAATAAGTAATCAGTAGAAAATAATAAGTAATCAGTAGAAAATAATAAGTAATCAGTAGAAAATAATAAGTAATCAGTAGAAAATAATAAGTAATCAGAGAGCAAGGCCGCAAGGAAAATGAATTGCCTTTTGAGCACTACAGCA